ACACTCCTGTAGGCAGAGAGACAGCCTGGTGAGTCCTGGTGCTTTGCAAACTCATCAAATTCCCATCTAGTTCAAGGAATACTTTGCTGTCTGCCTGCAAGAAAAAAAAAAGACCCACTTTTGTCCTTGACCTGGGATGAACTGGATCTTGTTGAATGAGTTAATGCCGCTGTAATGGAACCAAAAATCCTCAGAGAAAAACCAATACAGCTAACAACATCATATTAGACTTCTTTCAATATCAGACAAGAGTGCTTAGGAAACCACTAGCAAATGTTTTTCATTAGATCTCCTCTTGCTGAATTATGCCACCATAGAACTCAATACCTTTTTTCCAACAATGAAAAGATAAAATTTAGAACAGGGGTGGCCAACAAGTGACCTGGTTTGGCCAGCACAGTTTTGGATTTTATAGGGTGGTCCCAGGTGGTCAGAATTTAAACAGAAATCTCAGAATCGGAGGGGCGCAGGGTGCAGTTTGGTGGGGAGGTGGAGCAGCATGGTGCACCTCCCCACCGGACTCCACCCATGCCACTGCCTGCTGGCCTCTGCCACTGCCTGCAGCTGTGCTGCTGACTTGAAAGGTGGGGGCTATTGTCCCAGATTTCCTTATGGTCACCCCAGGCATGCTGCATGGTGGCAGATTGGACTGGAAACCTAGGGACAAAAGAAGGCAGAACAATGGATTGGGGAAGGGGACTGGAGTAGCACTCAGAGTGTCCACCCCCCCTCCCCCAGTTTAGAGGACATGATTCAAACAGATACATAATTAAAATTAAATGATGGATGGTCATTTTTTGACCAGAAGAACATCTTGAATAAACAGTGAAATGTTTGTAATATCTATGGCTACATTTCTTATATTCATAAGATACTGGTTACAAGAGTACAAAATTGTAGCTATAATTAACAACAACGATTAAGAAATCATTTGATCCATCATAATGCCATGTCTCTGGTGTTCTAGAATATATTGTTTCTTTTTTGTGGGGTCACATACAAAAGAACAATAAGAGAAGTGAATAAAATTAAAACAAGTCACTGAATAGCATCTGTGGGTTAAGATAGGGTAGAATAGGCTGTTTACGGATAAATCAATCAGTTCTTTCTGGGAAGGCTGGCAGTTTACATCTTTTTATAAACATGAAACATTAGCAACAGATGGACTGATTTCATTCACAGTATTTCTGAAATGCTTTTATTCAGCAAAGGGACATCATATTTCACTGCAATGCACTCTAATAAGATAAGATGCTGGCTAATATGGTAACAATAGGAGATCAGATTAGGTGATCTCATGGGCACACCTAGGAAAATGAAATCAGTCACGAAGTGTAGCTGCATGCGAATGCTGGATATATTGTGTGCACAGTTATCTGTATTAAAAAATAAAAGCTTCTCTCCTGCTCCCCTTCTCGAATTTACTCCTTTCATTACTTCTTCAGGAAAAGATATTCATTATTGATCAGCACACCCAAAATTACTGTGATGTGAAAATAAAAAAAATAACTCACTGAACCCATGAAAAGGTTCTAGGCAAGGGGAAATAAATAGAATCCATTTAGTAGAGGCAAGTAACTTCCACATGGGATTAGGCTGACATAGGTTCTCTAAAGTGTTTGTCAAAATATTATTCTGAGGGAAGGCGCAGAGCTTAGGGTGAGAGGGGTTTTAGCTCACACTTGTGTAGAAAATGCTGTCTCCTCCAGACAACTCCAGGTTAGCGCTAATGGATTCTAGTTAAAAGGCCTTAAATCCTTACATGCAATACAAATCACTATGCAGCACTGCAAATTAGAAGTAATTGAAAGATTTCCTCCCTGTACAGGCTACAAAGAACAGCTCCAGTTTATTACTGTCATTTGAAACATAAAAAAAAAATATTCTTCTAGAACTGTTGAGCTTTAGGATAATCCCAAAAATGTTGCCAAATCTCAAAATACCTAAATCCCAGGCTCCTGGATTCATGTGATTAGAGAATTTTAATTTTGGGAGTGGGGGGGCATTTGTTTTTAAAAACTAAGTAAGAGTTCTGTACAGAGAGAAGTAGACTGCAAAACTAAGTCTGGGCATGAATTTACAGCATACTTGCTGCTCCACGCTGAGATGGCATATGGACACTCTAAGGGCACAGTAAATGCAAAATTCCTTTCTCTATTTGTAGAGTGTCCACACAGGAAGTTAACTCAGAGTAACTAGCACAGTAAATTCATACCTGAGGTTATTACACAGTACCCTTCTTGTGCAAAGCATGACCAGAGCTTCCAGCTACCAAGGTTGTGGAGAAAATTCTGAAAATGTGACTCCAGGGCAACCTAGAGACTCAGAAATCAGGACATATATATTACACACACATATTTTGGCAGGGGCGGGGTCTTACAATTTTTGAAAATGTGGGGTTGGTGGTGCTGCAGTCCTAGAAAATGAGCAGTGCCCAAACCACTGATGCAACAGAGCCTTGTTCAATTCTTCCTTTCCTTTGGGTCTCACTTGGTAGAGTAGGCGGGTGTCACTTCAGCTTCTGCTACCAGATGTCAATGCTGTCAGTGCACAGAGTGGAGCATGTCTAGCAGCACTAGGAGCGAGTAGGAGGGTCTCAGGCCTATTGTGACAAGAATGGCTTCCTAAAATAGCGTAAATCATATGCGCTTTCTGGAGCCGCTGTTACTTTTCTAATCTGTCTACAACCACTACAGCTAAGGGATCTGCTTCTTCCCTTGCTATCCTGTTTTACTGCAGTGCCTGTCCATGTCTGTCACAGCATTTCATAGAATCATAGGGCACTGCCCGATACCTGCTCCAACACATGCTAATTAGCCAGCATTAGAGCAGACTCGATTAACTGAGTCTGCCTGAGCGTGTTAAGTAGCGTGCTCCAGCAGCCTTGGTGGGGTCTCATGTATTCCGTGTCCCTGTGCTTTAAAATGACAGTGGGGGTGCTTTAACTAAAGCTCACTGAATGATCTTTAAAGCACCCCTACCACTATTTTGAAGCACAGGATGCTGAATGTACAAGATTTTAATTAGAGCAGCTCCTGAGAGACTAATTAAAGCATCCCTCCCCCCACACGTTCAAAGATGCCCATAGAGAGGAAGGGCTGAGAGCGACTTCTAGAGGTCAGTCTAATCCAAGGTTTCTCAACTGGTGGGACGCAAAGGTCCTTTAGGTGGGACTTGGGTTGTGGCGGCAAAACCAGAGGTGCCACAGATGGGACTTCCAGTTTCGGTTTTGTGCGCTTCAATCAGCCACTGGGGGACCTCCCCCCTGCTCTTCGACTGACCTCTGAGGGGACCCTTCCCCCTGCTCATCGACCAGTGGGACCAGGATTTTTTGACCTTACATAGGCGGGACATAAGGTGCAAAAGGTTGAGAACTGCTGATTTAGTCCAGTGTTTCTCAACCCCTGATTTGTGACCCAAAAGTAACTCTCAAGAATATATGAAAAGGTTGCAAACAAGCTTTAAAAGTGGACCAACAAATTTTAAAAAATGGATTCTCCTTTAAAGGAGAAAAACATGGGAAACCATACTTTTCCCTTGCAAGCTGGCAGACTTGCAGCCTGCAAGGGACTGCTTGGGGCTCCCAATACTACCCCCCCCCCACCTGGCACATTTTGTGGGGCTGGGGCTTGGAGGCAGCAGGTCACGAATGGCCATCAATATTTACAAATGAGTCTTGGTACAATGAGAACCACCAATCTAGTCCAACCCCCTACCTGGAGCAAGACCATCTCTATCCAAGCCACCCTATACAAATCCTTTGCCTAATCCTAAAACAAAACCATTGTCTTAATCAGGGCCCAGCTTCAAAAACACCTTCCAGTCCCAGCATGTGAATGAGCAAGATGGTTAAGAGGAGGGGGAGAATCTCATCTGGAATCCACTTCAAGGCAGCATGTAGGGGTGTTGCAAGGAGGGAAGGGGGGTGCTTGGTGTGCTACAGTGACCCCCTTAACCATCTCCGTAAGAGTGACGCTGTAGCTGCCACGGTCCCGGGATGAGACCAAACACTAAGGTCACATTTTCCACTGGCCCAGCTGCACAGTTGGGATTAGGGTGGCCATCACAGAGGACGTGCCAGTTTTCTGCTACTCTGTCCTTTATTGATAAACCCAACGCCTTTATGGCCTCTATTTTTTTCTTCAGGAGGCGACCCAAGCAGGATGCGGGGCCTGGAGCAAATCAGCCTGTGCAGATCCCTGCCCTGGAAGCAAGGAAGCCAGTGTCAGATGCGCTGGTGGGGGGGACGAACGGCCGGATGCAAAGCCAATGGCAGCACAGAATCATCACAGCCGCTCCGCCCAGCTCTGGGGGCCCCCAAAGCACAGGCCCCAATTTGTCCCCCCCAGGGACAGCCCTGCATAAAGGCACCCAGTTTTATATGGACAGAGGACAACTGGACTGCCCTCTAGGATAACCACCCTAGTCGGGATGGAGGCAGACAAGGCTTTGTCACCTGCCTCTCTTTCTTGCAGCTCTTCCTTTTACCCTGCGGTCTCTCCCTCGGGAGGCAGAAACACCTCGAGAAAGGAAGAAAGAGAGAGGGCGGGGGACGCGGCCAGGCCTAGCTCCTCGGGGCCCCCGCGGGGGGGTCGCGGCCCGCGTCGCGGCGCGGCGGCGCTTCTCGGCGGGCGCAGAGGGGCCCAGCCATCGCCACTTTAAATGACTCAGGAAGTGGAAGGCGGCGCGGCCC